TACTTTACCGAAAGTCCATTAATTGTACTGTGTGTTTTGAATCTTTGGCCATCTCACTTTTCTAAGCACTTTAAACGCTAATATAAGAGTTTTCAACCATCTGTAATTCGTTTTATGGTGATATTTGGATACTAGAAGTATTTTGGTGTAAATCATAACAATAACAGAGGCGCGCAAAGCATAATGGTGCAAACTGGGGCTTTAACAGCGCCTTATAGGTTAATCTTAATTCATATCGCCTGCATGTTTGCACATTATCACACGTCTGGTCTTATCTTTACCATAAGTTATCAAATTCATTAATAATTCATAAGGTAAACACAATGGAAAATCATTGCCGTGACCGCATCTTTATATGAGCAAGAGATTTGTCCTGATTTKCATACGACTTTARMTTYGATTTTCTCTTACAAATGATATTTTATGCTGAAGTTTTTTTGAAAATGCTTTACCTTATGTTGGAATTTGATAAGCAATATAAAGCCGGTATTCGCGTCCGACCGTTATGGGCTATAGTATTTATATAATTCATTAATGATTCATAAGTTATATAAGTTAATGAATAATAACAATAGAGAATGAGATCTATTAGTATTCTATATAAAAATACAGAATACTAATAGATCTATTAGTATTCTGTATTTTTACTCGGGGTTCCAAAGGAATCCCCGAGTTTAAATTTCGGCTGTCTTTTTCATCTTCGTCATGGTCGTATTTCGATCAGAAAATGTCCTCGGCCAAACTAGAATGTACTGGGTACGAATCACGTGACATTCACAACTTCCATCAGGCTATCTTTACATGGTGTCGTCGAGGTGTCGTCTTTATACGAGATGGAAGACATGGATTCATTCAACTTCAAACACGCTCAAATCTCTTACAAATCCACACACCATTCGCGGTGTATAAGAAAACGGTCAAAGAAAACCATTGTCGATTTCTTGAACATCATTTACCATTAAATGTCATTTCTCTTAGGAGATGAACTTGTGGATGATTTTGAGGTAGACGGCTATCTTCTTCCCAATGGCAGACAAACACCAAATCAGAACGGAGCAGAAGAAATGATCATGAATCCAATTCCAGACTTCCCACGTGAGCCAGGTTAAATATATAGTCTTCAGGCTTTCCCGTTTCTACGGTGGCCCATAGGGGACATCCTACTTTTAGTAGCTCTGTTTTGAAAATCAGCTAAAAATGAGCCATAGAGATTGGCGATCGCTAATTTTCATCGTGCTTTTTAAAAGATTGGCGATAAAATCAGCGATCGCCAATTTCAAAATTGGCTAAAAGATTGGCGATTAAATCAGCGATCGCCAATTTTAAATTTGGCGAAAAGATTGGCGATTAAATCAGCGATCGCCAATTTTAAATCGCCAATTTCAAAATTGGCGAAAAAGATTGGCGATTAAATCAGCGATCGCCAATTTTAAAATCGGCGAAAAGATTGGCGATAAAATCAGCGATCGCCAATTTTATCGGCGAAATTGGGTTGCACGCATGCGCTGCTGTGTTGCTAGGTTCCCGTTGCTCGCACATGGTCGTTCAAGATGGCGTCGGTGGAAAAGGTATGTGTTTTCAGCTGTTAAACGAGTCCGTTTGTGGGTAGCAGAATGTTTCATATTCAAGGG